TTCACGCCTTTGTACTCGCTTATCTACTGTTGCGTAATATGCCCTTGTCCAAATGGTCTCTCTCATTCCACAAGCATCAAGGCTGGGATGTGAGAGGTAAACATTGAGCCTATTGCCAAAGATTCCCTAGATTTTCTTTACTGAGCAATTGAGAAAAAAAGATGGGTCTATTTTACTTCACATCTCACGCCAAACAACATCGTTTTCAATATTTTTCTTATAGCTTGTAAAAGTTTGTAAATTCTACGATTGCAATGGAGCCACAAGTGGCAGGCCTATTGTGATTACCTGCCCCTAAAATTCAAAGAATTTCAAATAGAACTGAGCTTCAAAGGGCAGTATTTACTTCTTACCCTTTCCAGTTCTACATTTATCCACCATACCTCCCGTGCAAGGCAATGCGAAGATGAAGACATCACTTTAAGAGAATATGAATTACTATCGCTGATTAGTGTCAAAATGAAAAAGATTATGTAACCTCGCCAGGAGGCGTTTTGGGTTTTGAAATGAGAGATGGAGTTCTGATCATGAGATTGCTAGTAAACGACTTCCTCCAATCTCCTTTCAACATTCATGTGCGCATACAACCTGATCAATTCTGGAGTTAGGCCAGGATCACATGTATTGCACTGCAGAGAACACCTCCTAACCGAAGAGCTCGCCATAGTCTAGCTCTGCACGAGACTTGCCAGATTATTTTGACTTTCATCACATAGTTTGATGATGATTAATTATTTGAGAGGCTTTCTACATCCAAATTGCTGGAAAATATTTAATGCTGTGTAAGAACAACCGAATACATCACGCTAGGTACTAGTGAAAGGCGCATTCCTTGGAATCAATAGGTCATCCTTTTCGAATGGAAAAGATCGCATTCATTAAATTATCTCTTTCGAAAATTGCCAGAAGCAGAATAGAATTGTTAACTAATTCAATTGTTGATTTAATTTAAAGCCTACCACAGAACCATTCCATGGACTCAAGGTGAAAATGGTCTTGAGGTTCGAAGAACACTTCTTCACACGAATTGAATGCACAATGTGCTGCTCTTAACAGCTCAAAGCCGTTGGATGTTACTTAGAAAAGATGCAAACGTAACGTCGCTAATTAGAACAAATATTTAACGAACAAGGACCTAGCAGCACTTTCCATTGCCAAGTCCAATTCTATTCGATATAAAAAAGCAAGGCATATTGAACTAATGTTTTTAGCTGAGACTGTGCATTTACAAAGAAATCTCTATGCTACCAAAGAACTTCAAAACCCAGAAGCGTGGAAGAGTTATTATAATACTATCCAGGGTTTACGAAGCATAAAACATCAAACGTTGTTTAACAAAAAAATCATGTTTTGCTACCCCATACGCGGGTCAAAAGAAGTATATTACAGCAAACAATTGGCATAAAATCATTGGTGGTAAAAAAGTTACAAAACCGCTTTTAGAGTGCGCGTGTGAATGAAAAAGAAGGAAATCAGAGAGGTTCAGGAAGTCGTAAATCCAATCCAACCTCGAATTCGCCGCCTAAAAGAAGGCCTCTAGGATCCTCATCATCCACATTGAGAAGATCAGTGAAGCTGAAACCCGGCTCAGGCTCCCACAGCGTAGATCTTGACGCATGCGGATGAGCACCGCTAAGGTCGACAGGGTTGCTGTGCGACAGATCGATAACTTCATGAGGCAGCTCAGTCAGATCAAGGGCCCCTTCGCCAGCAATCGAAGAACACATCTCCGTCTCAACAGGAATCACCGTAGGATGCTGTGATGTCTGCAGGTAGAACCATTATCGCAATGATGCCATCTGAGCCACATATTCAACTACAAGGATATTCGGAATTATTTCGGTTCGACTGGATACCTTTTTTTATGTTTACACGTCTCTCCCGTGGGTAGCTGATAGCAATCTTTGGGGGTCGTAAATACTATAGACCTTCCAGTATACATCAAACGGTACTTTAGTGCCAGTCAGAAAATCTAGTCCAAAAGAAAGTGAGCCTCATTTTCTCGAGCTAAATAGCACACCAAAATGTCACAACTCTAACATCACAGCATGATTGCCAATAGAGCAAAAGAGTACCAAATGAATCGGTTACATTACCACTAATGAATACATCAATTTATGATTATTTTAATTGGCTTCTCGCACTCCTTTTGAACTACCTTCTTTCCCTTACAATTAACATTAGGGATAGGACACAATATTTAGGAATCAACCTTCAGGCCGATTGCGACAATTGTTCAGCAACTATTTAAATAGCTTTGGCAATGGACTTTTCCGCATTAATGCAATTTTGCTATCACATTCACAGCATGATTTCTTTCACCTTGCAGCTCGGGTGCTGCAGCCGGGAAAAATAAAATGTGAAATGTGCAACAGGAACCTTAAATGGAGTAGACAGCGTTATGCTCTTCAGGGTTTGCAGATCAAGATTGGAGATATAGACGCTTGGACCATTTCATGCAGATTTTAAAATAGATTTGTTTCTTCCGTTCGTTATAAACAAGACAAGGAAGTCTATAAATCGAGCCGTAAAACTAACTCAACACTTAGAACCATG